TTAATACTGAAATACATTTTATGTCAGAAATTTACTTTTGATAGTTAAATACTAAATATGTTAGATACTTTAAGACTTTTACTCAAGTAATATTCTTAGAGGAGACTAAGTTTTAGTAAAGTAATTTTATGGTAAGATACTTGTACTTTTACTCCAGTATCACTCTGAGGTACTTTATACAACACTGATGGCCTACAGGGCAGCAGTGACTTAGTTATAAACCAATGGAGGAAGATATACAGCAAGTGTTTATCAAATGTTAAATAGACTCTGTAGTATGATTTGTTTGTTTTGTAGAGACTTTGTAGACTGCTGTATGAATGTGTGTGATGGTTAAATGAGGGTGAATGTGTTGTTGAGTAGCCTGGTAGGTCAGAAAGGTGTAAGTACAGCTCAGGTTGTGTATCATGTGATGTGTTTGGTTTACCTGTGGTCTTCCTTTTATCCAGCCCTTTTCCCACGCAGTGTAAAGCTGCAGTGACCACAGTGGGCTCAGAGAAACCCAGCACCTTCTTCACGGTCCGCTCCACCCAGGGTCTCAACTCCTCCACCTCCCGCTTGGGCAGGGACATCCTCAGATCCTGCAAAAACACACAACAGCACAACAGTGACACCACTGAACCACCAGATGAAACCAACTCTGTTTTTAACATTTTAAATGTGAATGTTACGATTAGAAGTACGAATAATCTGTTTGTTAGTGACAGATAATAAGTTTACATTACAAGCAGTACAAACACAAGCCTGACAAACACACAACTACACACAACATACAGAACTAAGCCTGCAACATTTCATCAGTTAGTTCATGTTGTGTTGAAGTTTATGAATGACTGAACTAACACGAAGCAACAAACTGAAGTCATTTAAACACAACTCCCCGCTTGCTAACATGCTAACTAACATTAGCATCTGACGAGCGACCAACATCAACAAACACCGGCTTCAGAACAACACGAACCTCAGTTTGGTTTGTAATCCGGCGGATTGAGAAAATCCTGGATGAATCCGACTCGAATAATCCAAGTTTAAACGGGTAAATTACTCAAATTACTAAGTAATCTTCTAAACTTTCTGTGTAGCCGCGCCGTTCACGCGACGTTTCTGTTCAGAGACCCGGAACCGGAAACAGAAGCCGGAAGTTCTTCTTCGTGGCTTTTCCCTCCGTTCAGTTCCCCTGGTTTATTTAATTTAATTTTATTTTTATTTTTCATTAAGAAAACACTGGATGAGAAATTGTTGCGTGTGTTAGTTGTAAAATGAGACGTGTGCTTTAAATAAATAACTTTATGTCAAAAAGGAATAAGTCAGAATGAAGATGTTTAAATAAAACAACAAATGAACAAACTTCATAAAACAACATAAAAAGATCTGATTAAATCAGTTTTAATACACAAACTGTATATTTGTACAAACAGCTGTAGCACTGAATGTTTTAAACTTTTTTTAT